TGAATTCAACGTAGTTATCATTTTGTCTCAAAATAGAAGAGGTCGATTCTCCATTATACTTATTGTATGCGCGAACAGCTGATGATTAATTATACTTATTAAAGGAAAAAAAACCTGTGCCCTTGTCTGCAAGGGATTCTGAACATCATCTTTTAATTGACTGTTTGAGGGGTTAAACAGAAGTTTTTAGTCTTGTGAGGCCATGTCTGCATTTCCATTATTATGTTATAATGGGAACTTCATATTTTTATGAGTTCAGAATTAAAATATATTTTAAAAAATGCCTCCTTTCGTGTTTTATAGACGTCTTACTCTTGAGGACCTGGAGGACAGTTGGGATCGGGGCATACCTCGTATAAACACTCTTTTTCAGAAGGATCGTCACACCCTAGCCTACGATAAGGGCTGGCGGGTACGTACGGAATTTAAGCAGTTCCAAGTTTTGAAACAAAACCCTTTCTGGTGGACGCATCAACGTCACGATGGAAAATTATGGAATCTCAACAATTACAGAACTGACATGATTCAGGCTCTGGGAGGTGTTGAGGGCATCCTGGAACATACGCTCTTCAAGGGTACATACTTCCCTACCTGGGAAGGTCTTTTTTGGTCAGTTTCTACTTTGTCCTTATTAGTAGTAACACGTATTTGCGCATGTCTAAATCTCTAAATCTTTCTTTAAAGGGAAAAGGCTTCCGGTTTTGAAGAATCGATGAAATACAAGAAATTGACAAATGCCCAGCGTTCTGGTTTGAATCAGATTCCTAATCGGCGCTTTACCCTATGGTGGTCCCCCACAATTAATAGGGCAAATGTAAACGATTCATGTTGCATTTATAGATTCATACACAGCTTCGTGTATGACATTTATATGCTTTATTTTTGTGAGTATATGAGTGTATTTTCAATTTTTTAGGTCTACGTCGGTTTTCAGGTTCAATTAGATCTGACAGGAATTTTCATGCATGGGAAAATCCCAACCCTCAAGATATCTCTTATACAAATATTCCGTGCTCATTTGTGGCAAAAAATTCATGAATCCGTGGTCATGGACATTTGCCAGGTTTTCGATCAAGAGTTGGATGCTCTCGAAATTGACACAGTGCAGAAGGAAACTATTCATCCTAGAAAATCGTACAAAATGAATTCGAGCTGTGCCGATATACTACTTTTTGCAGCATACAAATGGCCAGTTTCAAGACCAAGCTTACTGGCTGACTCTAAGTACTAAACAATTATACTTTTAATTCGATTTTTTTAGAGACATGATGGACGGCACGACAACACAGAAATTTTGGATAGATATTCAGTTGCGCTGGGGTGACTATGATTCACATGATATTGAACGATATGCCCGGGCAAAATTCCTTGATTACACAACAGACAACATGTCCATATATCCTTCGCCTACTGGTGTAATGATTGCAATCGATCTTGCCTATAATTTGCACAGGTATTAAGAATGCTTTCTGAAATTGATAACAATAGGCATTTCAATTACTTTTATCTATTTTCGACATTCAGATTTATTACTTCTAAGTTGATTGAAGGTATTAAGACCAAGATGGTGTGGCCTTTAGTGTGTTGCAGTCTCCGTTCGTTGTATAGAGGTTGTTTGACCTTGTTTTCGCAACTTGGCGATATTGGTAGGAAGACTTGGAGCAACGCACCTTGTCCTGAGTCCATTGTATGTATAATCATTTCCAAACTCGGACCGTGGACGTGGCACATTCCCAGACGTTTCGACGGCATTGTCAGTGAGTTTTGCCATTCTTGTAACCACATAACAACTCGTCAAAGGGACAAGTGAAGCCGATCCTTTGATCAAACGTGTGCTAAACAGTTATGGTATCTCCCCTTCTGCCTTGGCCTATTCACATTTCCTATATCCTCATATCACGCCTTCACTGTCGAAATTTTTTACTTGCTTAATTAAATGTGGTACGGTGTGCCCTTTTGAGCGGCTTTCATGAGAACCTTCCGC